AACTCTTTACTAGCTGATGTTTCAATATTAAAAGTAAATTAAATCAATTATAGAATTAGATAAAGTCAAATCAGGAATACAACTTTAAAAAGAATAAATTCCATACTATTTTTATTATTATGCCTCATTAAATTTTCAAGGTTAAAAATTTAGAGTTTTTATAAACTAAGGAAAATAGCAAAAGAATAAAAGAAATTACAATTGTATGCAATGATTATTTTATTGAAATAAAATTAATTAGAATACTCTTCTATCTATTTAGAAAAGAATTAACATTAAATTAATTTAATTTTTACCTATTTAATTCTAAGAAGATTAAAGCTTTTGTTATTTACGTTATTATCCATAATAAATTAAGAAACAAAGTATACTTCAAATATATGTTTTATTTTTTTTTTTTTACAATAATTTGTTATTGTGATATTTTTTTTTAAAAAGGTAATTGTTTTAATTTATTTTTATTAACTTCATTGTCACTCTTTTCTTGGAGAAAACTACCTAACGAAAGACCCTGAAATTTCTTTTAAATTTTTTTTTTCATTCAATAGAGTTTTTTTCTATCACAACCAAACCTAGGATACAACTTTGAAACCAATCAGATGTCAGTTCCGCCCCAAACCCTCCAGAAGAATTCTGGTCCTTTCTATTCTCATATTTCCTTCCCTCGTACAAACATTATGCCACAATATTTACATCAAGTACGTTCTGAGAAACAAATTTTATCACATTTTTTATTTACGAACAAAATAGCAGATTATGCGACTTTAAAGGTATTATTATTACAACCTTCTTCTCCATTGTTAAGTGCTTATATAAATTCTGTTTGTTTTTATTTTAAACTTTCTTCTTTCTCAATATTTTAATTTAATAGTTTTTAAAGGATGATGATTCTCAAAAATATTTAGATATTTTACTTCATTATTATGCTTCACACAGTCTTTTACCTAACCTGTTACTTAGTCTTGCTTCATTTGAAATTAAATCAACAAATCTGTGCAACCCACTTTTTAGAGGAAATACGTTGTTTTCAAGAATTTATTCTTTGTATTTAACTCAATATTGTTCTTTTTTCCTTACGGAAACTTCTAAGGCACTGTTAAATTTCCTCTCAGCAATTCATTATGATGATAAAACGAACAATCAAGAAGATGTTTCAGTTATTATTACTACTTACTTCTCTCTAATTTCAGATTCTTTTAAGTATATTCCACAAGAACTTCTCTGGGTTCTTCATTGTATTTACCAGAAAGTACTTATCTCTCGTAGTAAAACAGATGCAATGATTAGTATAAACACACTATTCTTTTTGCGATACTTGTTCATTCCATTTAAAGAAACACCGTCATTGTTTAAAATAATTCAATCACAAATATCATCAATTTTTCTTCACTTACAAACCGTTGAGCACAACGAACAAACAAAACCAATTGTTGATTTGATTGACTGTATTTTAAATAAAATTTATTGTATCACCTCACCTCATTCCACTCATCCTAAAATGTTTGATAGTTCATCAGATGATGACTTATTATTTATACTTCGTTCAAATAAAGATTTAATTTTGAGTAATTATGAAGGTGATCCTTGTGATCTTTCTTCATTATTCTCACAATATGAGACACCTATTGTACCAATACATTTTCATTGGAACAAATGATATAATTTAATTTAATGTATTTTGTTATTTATTGTTTCATATTTCTTCTTTATGAAAAAATTAAAACTTTAAACAAAAACTCATCAATGAAAGCTGGATTTGAAGGTGCACCACTTTCTTTAATCATTTCTATTTCTACATTCACACTATCGCTTATCTCTTATTTTGGATTTATTGGGAAAGATACATTAATATTTAATGAAGAATGGTATAAGCATCCTTGGAGTATTATCACTAGTTTTTTTTGCCATTCTTCTATCAGTCAAATAATATACTCTTTACTGTTAGTTTATACTTTTAGAACTCTTGAACGAAGATGGTCAACACGAATATTCCTTCAACGACATATTCTTATAAATGTTGTAAGTCTCTTATTATCAGTATTTATTTTTCGCTTCACCCATAAATTTTATTCATTACAAACAAGTCATACAGTGTTTATTATTTATTACTATTTAGAAGTATTACCATTAATTAAATTAAAAATTTTTATGTTAGAAACTTCAGATAATTTCTTTGTATATTTTTCATATGTTATGGTTTGTTTTATTTTGTTTAATTAAAAGAAATTAAATTGTATTAACCAACTAAGATGTTATTTAATAATTTTAAAGATGGGATATTTTTTACTTTAATAGGATTAATTGTTGCACTTGTCTCTCTTTATCCACCAATTTATTCAATTTTTCCATCACTTCCTGATTCAATTAGTTCTATGGTTGATTCTTTCTTTGATTATGTAGATAAAATTCAAACACCATTTACATTCATTCAGAATAATAAACCTCAACGCCGTCAAATAGAAGGTGAATTTATGCAAGCTATGAGAGAAAATATAAACCCAATTAATGAACAACCTTCTCAACAAACTCGAGACCAAAAAATACAAACAATAATGGATTGTGGATTTACTCGAGAACAAGCAACATTTGCACTAAACAACACAAATGGAAATGTAGAAAATGCATTAACTTTCTTATTAGATAATGGAAATTATTAAATTTAAAACATTAATTAATTGTTTGTTTCTTTTTTTAAAAAAAGAATGAACTGAACAGAAAAAATGTATTGAATAAATTAATCACTTCCAATTGGTTTTTTAGGTAATTTTTCTTCAATTGCAACTTCAACTGGTTTAGAACTTTTATCATCTAAATGGTTGAAGGGTTTTTCTGTAGTATCAGAATATCTATATGCATATTGATAGTCTTGGTCATACCTTCTAGGGTATGGTGGATACTGGTATGGTGTTCGTGGATCTATTGTTCTGTCCATTGTTGGAAGAGGACGATCCATAGGAGGTCTTGCATCCATTATATCTAATGAGTCAAGACGAGGTGGTGCTGTTGTATTTATTCTATCTAATTGTGAACGAACATCTAAATAAGTATGAGGTGGTGGATTTGAAATACATTGATTTGGTAATCTAGTGTCCATCATCCTTTGACTGAATGGTTGGAAACAAGATGGCCCCTGTGAATTAACTGATGGAATTGGTTGGTTTGAAGTTATTATCTTTGGGATTTGATTTGGTTGTTGTTCAACTTTAATTTTTTCATCTTCTTCATCTGTGTCATCTTCTTCTTCACCAGCTTTAGCTCCTTTTCTTTTTCTACTAAAACGAGGATAATCAGCATTAGTTAATGGTGTTTGGGTAGGTGTAAATTCAGTAAAACGTAATAATGTTTTTTCTATATCACCAGATGAATAAACAAAGATCTTATTATTAGTGGAATTAAAACAAATTAAAGCAATTTCACAATCACATAATATCGATAGTTCCATCGCTTTTTTTATTAATCCATTTTTTCTTTTAGTGAATGTGGCTTGACGATTTCTATCATTTGCAATTCTTTCAATAGATATTTTATTTCTTCCCATAGCTGTATTTAGACGAACCAATTTTAACCATTTTAGTTCTGTTTTTACCCTTTTTTACTCTTTTTTTAGTTTTTACTATAAATAAATTATATTAAGCTATTTTTATCTTTTTAAACTTCAGAAACGAAGAAATTAAGAAGTTTAAAATAAATTGAAGAAAAATTAAAAATAAAAATTTTTAAAAAGAACTTTTTTTGTTAAAAACTGAAAAATAAAAATAATTTTCAAGATTTTCTTTAGAATGAGTGAATTAAGTGAAACAATTAAAAAAATTGAGCTTAAACAAATTAGTATTGAAATGTTTATTGATAATGAAGAAGATACTGTAAAATCTGTCAGTGATCTTTTTGATTTATTGTCTGATGGACATTCAATTCCCAAAGATTATCATTTGATATATCTTATGATAACAAAAAAGGTCAACCCTTTTATTCATTACTCTAAAAATCTTATAAACCCAATGCAACTTTATGAAAAAGTACAGTTTCAAATGAAAGTATTAATAAGGGTTTATGAAATGATTTGTGTTGCTAAAGGAATTATACAAAATAAACCTGAATATCAAGACGAATTACTTGAAGATTTATTAGAATTTTCTAAATGTATTTATTCTCCTGTTAAATCGTTATTCATTCATCATTTTATGCTAGGTCTTATTGCAGTGTGTGAGAAAAAAACTGATAGATCATTATATAGGTTTATAATTACAAATACATTAGAAGCAACAAAAGCAGTATTGCGTCATGACAATTCTCATAGAAATAAAGTTGAAGATATCATTGAAATGTGTTATCCATTAAAAGAGGTGTATGAGGCATTAATCAGTTGTCAACTTATTTCAACTGAGTCTTTATTAACAGAGATTATTCCATTATTACTTGGTGAAATTGTTGGTGCTTCTCATGATTTTTCAAAACCTATTGTTTTATCTGCTTTAATGGATTCACTTCCACCTACTCTTCTTCTTGAAGGTTTAAATTCTTTTGTTTCTTCAATCCAACAACTAGAAAATGACTCCGCTTTCTCACGACTTGGAGAATTAATAAAAATATTAACGAGAACTTCAGTAAGTGCACCTGATTTTATTCTTTTAGTTAAGGTAATTGCTCGTTATTGTGAATTCATTGAGACAGATGTATTCATTTCTCTTCTCCAATCATTATATCAAGTAGCTAGAATTTCTCAATCACCATTAGAATTCACCTTAAAGGTATTTTCATTAGTTTCTCCAATCCCTACTCCATTAAGTAATACATCAACAACAAATCTATGGAATTTATTAAGACAACCTATTGATTCTATTGAACTTAAATATTTTATTAAAAATGAGAGTTTTAGAACTGCTGTTAAAAAATTACCTGAAGATCGTGCTGTACCTGTTGCAAAGAAGATTTTAGAAAATTATTCTACTAAATTTATTATTGAAAGTGATGAAGAAATGAATAATATGTTAGATGTATGTAGGCAATTGTTTAATAGTACTAGTGAAGATGCAGAAAAAGGATTAAGAATGATTCATATAACATCATTGAAAGATCCTCAAATTTTTAAGAGTATTTTTAATAATTTAACCGAACAAGCAATAGGAATAAAATGGCAGAATGATAAAAATCGTTTAAATTGGTGTATTCCACCATTAGTGTTTGCATTATTAAAGGCTGGAAGAGTACAAGAGTCATTAAGAGATTTTTCAAGTGATTTAATAATTAAATATTGTAACATCTTGAAAGGTATTGATGCAGGTAAAACAGTTAGAATTGGTAGTCAAGCTGCAGTAACTCTTGCTGAATGGAAATCTATGAAGTACAAAGATTTATTGATTATTTGTTGGGAAGCATATGGAGATATTTCTAATTCAATTGAACAAGAAAAGAGTTTATTAGCAATGATTGGAATTGTAAACATTATTAATGTTGGAATAACTGAAGCAATTGATTTAAGAACTAATGTTGAATTAAAGGCAATTGGATTATTAAAAACAGTTCAAAAATGTGAATTATCATGTAAATGTGCATCACTTGCTGGTTGTACATCAAAAATAAGAAATGATAAACACGTCTTTGAATTACTTAAGAATACTGCAAAGATGGGAAGTGACGTAATTCAATCAATAGAGAATATTCATCTCTTTGTATTGATTTTAAATTATTTTATGATTCATTTTACAACAAATAAAGAAATTCCAGTTGAACTTATAAGTAAACTCATTCTTCTTATTAAAAATGTGATTATACAAGAGACTGATCCACAAACCTATGCCTTTTTTATGAATACTTTATTAGAAATCAAAATAAGAAAAGAACTTAGTCCTCGATATCAACAAATTCAATGTTAACACAATTTTTTTGTTTTCGTTATATATCAATTCAATTAGCTTTCTTTTCTTCATGAATTTGATTCATTAAAATTGCATATCAGCAAAGTCTTGGTCTGGTGCCTCTTCGTAAAATGGTTCAGGTGATGGTTTCTTACAACAGAAAATAAACTTACACCCATCTTTTATAAGCATTGGCAATGATAACCAGAATACATAATTTGGAATAACAGCAATTCCTCTTCTCTTAAATAATAAAACATTTACAACAGCTCCAATAATTAAGTATAAACAAATACTACTTAAAAGAATTAACAATAAAATAATTCCTACCACTGGGAAATCATCGTCATCATCATCATCGTCGTCATCATCGTCATGATCATCTGGATGTGGGTGTGTAGAAGATGTCTGCTTAGATTCTATGTATTTACAAACAAGTGAATGGTACATTTTAACTTCAAACTCACAATCACTATCATCATATTTAACATAAAATATTGAATCTTGTACATCTTTAGAACAATAAACTTTCACTTTTGTTTCATAATTTTCTGTAGCACTACAACTAACAGAAGAGCTGTATTTAAATTCAACATAGTCTTTTTTATCTTTTAGGTGTTCACTTGAAGTTAAACCCATTAAATCTATTTTGTCATCTACATCAATTGTTAGAACAGAGTAGTCAGGTGATGGACTAGTTGAATTGACTAGGTAATCATATAATAATCTTCCACATGGATTAACATAGGTAATTATTCCATTGTCTTGGAAAAATGAATAGTCTTCAATTTCTGAATGAATAGAACTAAAATTAAATCCATTTAGCACGCATTCATAAGCTAATGTTGTAAAGGTAATGAATAATAAAATGAGTATTTTCATTTGTCCAAAAAAATATAAGTTATTTAGTTTATTTTCTTTTCCTTTTTTTATTCATGAGTGATTTTGCTAAAATCTTATGACTTTTTTTAAAAAAGAAGAAAACCCTACAATAACCATTCATCAATGACTTCAATTAAAGGACATAATGCACCTATAACTTGTGTCAATTGGAGTCTTACTAATAACTTTTTGTTTTGTTCTGGAGATGAGAAGGGGATATTTAGAATTTGGGATTTCAGAACAATGAAAACAATTAAAGCATTCCAAGCACCAAATAAAAGTTCAATAACATCGTCTCAATTTAATGATGACATCTGTTTTGTTTCAAGTGGAAATGAAATGAATCAGCTGGACTTAAGAGGTGATGGGTTGTTTATTAAAAATTCATTGTTCAAAGATGAAGCTAAAGATGAAATTAATAAAATTAAAGTAGACACCACAAATAATAGGTATGGTTATTGTGATGATTCAGGTAATATTAGTGTTTTTGAATTCAATAGTAATAAGAAAATTGTTGATTTAGTTGGAACACATGAGTCAGTTTGTAATTTATCATCTGAATTTATTAATGAAATAAAAGAAAATAATACTCACGTTCATTTATGTTCTGATTTTGTTTTTGATAAGAAAGAAATGACTTTATACTCTACTGGACTTGATATGACAGTAGTTAAATCGAAATTATGGAATCCATCTCCTAAAACTAAATATATAATGAACAAATGTTCTTTCCCAAAGACTGGAACAAATACTCTTGTTAATCCACCTATGGCATATTCTATTGATATGAATATGAAAGGTGATAGGTTAATGGTTGCTTGTGGTAATGGTATGATTTATTGGTTAACAACTGGTGCATTGAAAATCACTCAAAGTTTTGAAATATCAATGGGAATGATACAACAAGCATCATATTTTAATCATGACCGATTATATTTGATTGCCACTCCAAACCAACTTCAGTGCCGTTCTAGTTGTGGTTTGTTTATTGTATTTTTATTTATAAAAAAGGTTTTTATATTAGTTTGCTTTTAAAAACTTAACAATAGCATATGAAACTGTTTTTGCTCGTAACTTTGTTGGAATTAATGATTTTTCTGCTAACCAAACAACAAAACATATTCTTGTTGCAGATCATTCATGTGATATTCATTTGTTAGAATCTGTAGAAGAACAAGAAGATGATGAATAATTTTTTAATTTATGAATTTTTATAAACTTTTATTTATTGGTATTTGAGTCATTCTATTTATTAATAATTATTGTTAGTTTTTATTAAACTTAAAATAATAAACTAGTTTTTTTTAGTTTTTTAGATTTAAATTTGACTTTCAAAAATGAAAGTTTTTTTTTTATTACTATTTTAAAATATTTATTACGTTCAACTTTTTATTATCTTAAATGGATATGAAATTTATTTCATCATAATTACCTACAATCTTTTCTTCTTCTATTTAATAAAGTATCTAAACAGATTTAAAATAAAAAATTCTTATAAGTATATTTTAAGAAATAAGTGATTAATAAGTATATCATTATTATATTTTACTCATTTTAAAGTTATTTTATACGTTTAGTTTATTAAATGTTTTTTATATTTTGTTGTTATAAAGAAGTTTAAGATGATTGAATATCTAATACATAATTCCTTTAAAGATGATAAAAAGAAATAAAAAACTAATTAAAAAAAAAAAAAGAAAAGATTAATTAAAAATTCTTGTGGTTTGATGGAGACAACAAAATTAACTCATGCTATGAAAATTGTGTTTCCAGAAAAAGTTATTAGTCAAAGTATTGATGGGTATGGGTATAACCTTTATGTCCATGATGAAACAAATTCATTAACATGTTACTCTCTTAAAACAAATACTATTATAGGGCATTTTGCATTACCTCTTAATACATTAAAAATTCGTGTTGCACCTACATCACATCATATTGCTGCTATTTGTGATCAAGTAGCACATATTTATTCATTACCAACAATGCAATATATTGGTTCAGTTGATAATTTGATTGATTTAGTATGGAGCAATGATGGATTTTTCAAAGACCAACAGTTTTTAGTTCTCTGTCATGATGGATTACATTGTTATCAAATAACTTCTCAAAAAGATAATGAAATATTAGAACACATAGCACATAAATCATTAGTTGGAAAACATATATTTGTAAATAATTCATACAGTGATGCTTGTGTTTGTGGAGAAAGAGAAATTTTTACATTTTCACCTTCATTGTCAGATACAACACAGATCACAAAATATCCATTTAAACAAAAATTAACAGATGCATGTTTTTGTAAAAAAGAATTATTTTTATTATGTGGAACAATTTTATCAAGTAGTGATAATACAAGAAAAGTTAGCCTTCCTTTTAGAGGAAGTTCATTTAAGTTAGTGTCTCATTTTCCTTCAATTATTGCATATGATGCGAATAAAATATTTATTATTGAACCAGAAAAGTTAGCTGTTCAAAGTGTTATTGAAACAAAATTCCTTTCAATTCAACAATTAGAAACAAATACAAGACTCTCATTATTAACATTTGTAATTCCAACCACGCTTGGAATTGGTGTTATTTGTAGTGATGAATATACTGCAGAAAATGCATTTCTCAGAGTTTTTGAACTTAAATCTGTGAAGATACATACTAAAAGTTCTGTCCAATCTTATAAACTTGCTCAAATGAGTGAAAATAGTTCTAGAAGTAAAAATAGTGCCCCAGCTTCAGATTATTCTATTTTCATAGGAAAAACAACAGGACTTGTTGAAAGAGAAATTGCAGAAGTGTTCCAGCAAAATTTTGGACCGGTTGTTAAAGTACGTCTTCATACTGGTTATGGTTTTGTTGATTTTGAGAATGCAGCAGCAAGAGAAAAAGCATTATTACATCAAAGTATTAAAGTCAAAAATGACAAAACAGTTACTATATCAAGTGCAGTTCCAAACAACAGTGGTCACAGAAAAAATTAAATAATTTAACTTTTCTATTTGTTGTTAGTGTTTTTTATTTTATAATATTTAATGTACATAAAATACAATTGTA